ATATTTTTTCAAGATTGCGTCTGAAGCGCCAACGGAATGTGTCAGCATTTTGTGATTTTTTTATTCTATAAATGATCCTAAACCGTATAAGAAAAAAAATGGATTGGTAATTAAGTGCGGTGTTAAATTCCGTTTTCACTGGCCTATTCAACAAAAATCAAATCACGGATTAAATAAAAGTCTAAAATAACAACAGTTATTTGAAAAGAAAATGTTACCAGAACTAGATATGGTGACAACTTAAAGCCCTTGCACCATCCATGCCGCGTAAGTGATTCCTGTTCACCAGCAAACAATAGATTACGAGTGGTAATAAGGATTATTACAAACTATTACACGTTACAACGAGCGTATTGTTAGCATTGATGTAATCAAATTGACGCTCACAGGCGACGAAGCTGTCAGCGATTAAACGATCGCAGCAAGGTGACTTCGAGGCCCTCACTTCCTATAAGGAAACACCCGTTTATGGTCCACTGAATAAACTCTAAAGAAATGTTCATGGAACGCACTAGTACATATTCAGAGAACGCTTGTTAAATCCTTACTTAATATTATTATATAAAGGCGAAAGTTTGTATGTATGGATCGATGTTTGTTACTCCTTCACACAAAAACTACTGAATGGATTTTAATGAAACTTCACAATAATATAGCTTATACATCAGAATAACACATAGACTTTAATATATAAAGATATTATGAGAATTGTCCAAAATATAGGTAATGATAAAAGTCATCTAAATAAAAAAAAATGTCAGCTATCTGCGAGATATTCCGGCGTATAATAAAAAACTCATTGTTAATCCCCTTTGGTCGCGCGAGTGAAGCCGCGGACAACAGCTAGTTCTTAATATATTAAAATCCTTATTGTGTATTCACCGGAAGCGCGACGATAGAATTATAAGCAAATAACCATTTTTTACTAACGAAAAACAAAATCGACTTCAAATATGTCGCTTTCTATTAATTTTATAATTGATTTTCAGGAGTTTCCTAAGTATCTCCGGAGTCCATGTTCCAATACCAACGAAATGAATATGGCAAGAACAATACCACACGGGAAGCACCAGCTTTCAATTAAAAAATGAATCATCAAAATCGATCCACTCACTCAAAAGTTATGAGGTAACAAACAAAAAAATACACTCGAATTGAGAATCTCCTCCGTTTGCAGTCGGTTAATAATAAACTCAACTCAACAAAACTAATCGCACTAACAGATAGGATGAGTAGTAAGAGTATATATATATATATATATATATATATATATATCGAAAGTTCTATGTATATATATATACATAGAACTTTCGATGCTTTCCTAATGTATTCTCCTTATCGGTTATTGTTTTTTGCTTTTGCATTGCTTAAAAACTTTTAAACCTTTTAATTACGCTAGCTTCTCAGCTAAATCATGAAAAAAGATGTAATATGTCTTCTTTAGTATTATTATTTAGAAACTAAAGTTTTGCTGTACATTATATTAGTAGCGTATCTTTAATGTCGCACAATACGTAAAAATCATAATTTACTTTAAAAAATTTAAGAAAATGCTTATGTTGACAACTGATTATAAAAAAGGAAAACTTTTTTAATCTGTATAACACTATCAAGCTCAATAATTGTGCTTATTATCGCAACAATGATAATTTCATTCTTATACGTAACACCTTTGCAATACTTACCGTCACCAAGTAAGGTCAGCACTACTCTAAACAGACATTCTCTTTCTGAATTTCAGACGTGAATCAGTAATAACTTTTTATGTAATTATCAACAGGTTCGAAGTTGACGACTCTCAGGTAGTATTTAAAGCAACGGACGTCTTTCCTTCGGTTTTAGGGCCGTTTAATTGTTGGTCCTTCCAGCCGGATGAGGGAGAGGTGCGGCAGCTAGCCGTAGGTACGAATCAAGGCGGCTGGCATTTCGCAGGGTAGATCCCATTGCCCAACTAAATCGAAAGGAGCCAAGCGTTACTCGAAAACACCTTGACACGACAACCGCTCCTTTCCTAAGTCGACATTTGACGTTTCGCAACCAAACGCCACGCTGCTCGGTTGCCGTATCCTTGAGGTTTGCGTAACCAGTTACTTCACACTGGTTACGGGCTGTTACGAGGCCCCGTGATAGATGGCGCCGGGTGCTGGATCGATCCACCTCAGCTTAACGATAGCTTCAACGAATTGTTTAAATCACAACGTAAAGTTAATGGAACGATTGTCTAACAAATTTGATAGATTGCATTCTGCGTAGCATCGCGGCTACGTAGCTTAAGGTGATTTTGTAACGATGACTGGCACACAACAATTTTGGTAAATCGACGGTACACGTGCTATATGTCTAAATATTAGGTACGTAGGTCGTGTACTAGTTGAATTTTATTAAATGTCTCTATACTTAAGCACGGTATCAGACGTGATCTATTGTATATAGCAGACGTTGATTTAAGAATCTCATTCATATCAGCTAGGTACCTACATTCACGTCTAACAATCACTATAAACCGCTGGCAGTAAATGTTTCAAGGCTGTAACGCGTATTGTAGAAGACAGAGTTGACTGACTCGATAGAATGCGTCGTAGAGAGGAACGACCTCAAGTTAATGAACTGATTTTTTTTATTTCGACGCCTCTAACGCCCTCGATAGTAATGTTGATATATTTCACAAGCCTGTCCGACATGTGGGTCAAAGAAAATTAACGAGGCGTGGAATGTTGTAAGCTGTTCGCCAGGAATAGTTTCTTCGATTATTCATTTGTTTCAGGCAAACAAATACAATCCAAAAACAAATAGGTGACATCCACAAACTAAATATTTACAATGGAAAGGGCCTATTATAACGTCGAGGAATACATTGAGGACAAGGATGTGTGGAAATGACTCTTGCTCTGCACTTGCAAGTCCCCTGGCTTCTGCTAAATCATACTTAAATACTTTTGTGTATGTACTTGAATAATTTGTAAAAAAATTATGATCGCAGAATCTCTTGCCGGTTCTTCTCTTGAGATCTAGATTAGTGAAACGGTGGTAGTTTTTGAAGTTCAATAAGAGCTTAAAATAAGCCTATGTTGAAGAAAGAAATTTTGACTTGACTTGACTTGAATCAAAATGTATACGTGCGTTACCTTAGTAAGTAGGCATCGAATGTCAATTATATTTATAAATAGATATTATTCTTTATTTGCCTGAATATGGACGCAGCCGGACTCTAGGTGATGGCTAATTGGTTATATGCCTCTGATTTCGACAAATATTGGAATTACTTAACTAATAACAAAATCAACTTTATTGACGATTAATGTAGTTTAATTATGTATTTATAGAATTTGGAAATAAGTGGTAAATGACATGGGGACATACAGGACATAATTTACAATATAGTGGCCGTGAAAATAGAGCAATAGTTACTATTTAAATACAGTCCGATTCTTTTGTTAAATACAATATTTGTTTAATTTAATAAACGTAACAGCCAATACTATAGAATAATAATATTATAGAATAGTCCTCACTGCGGATTGGCGGATTTCACATGTCTTCCAAATATTTTTTTTTATTATTAATTCGAAAATATGCATGTTTCCTTACGATGTTTCCTTACGGTGGCAATTTGAACTCAGGTTGCTCGAGTATAAGAGATTAAAAGCGGCCACCCAGCTACTGAGCTATCACGGCTCAATTATTGCACTATTTGGATATTTATAACGAAATTTGGACAACACAACAGTGAAATTTCACGGCAATCTCCGATTTGGAATTTCGAGAACTGCAATCATAAAATCTAGACGATATGGGCCAAATAAAAAGAGTTTGCGAAAACGATTACATGCGATTCGTTTCAAAATTAGCTTTTACGTTTCGAGTGTCTTTATTGTTGATTTCGAACTTCGAAGACAAAGAAACGTGTTAGTTTACGTTTGACGATTAATTGGCAAACGGATTAAGTGTAACAAAGTGCATTGCGATTTGTGAGAAAAGCGGCGTTATCCGCTCGCTGGCGCTTGCCAAACGTCGGTTTGGCAAACCGTGCGCCCAGTCGGCGTGTTTGCGAAACGCGAGTTCGTTGCGTATAGTTTCGATTCTGCGTGTGTCGCGGTTAATAAAGATTTACGTAACAATGGATCCGACGCAGTATTTGTTTTATTATTCAACAACTTATATATTATTATTGACGTACATATTATTTTTTTATTATACAACTTACTTGTATATATTATTATTGACTTAGGTCAATGTCTGTTTTTTTGTAAAAACTACAATAATATTGAAAATTATTTTTTTATCCTTATCCAAATATGAATTACTATAACAGGGACGGGTACTACCATCATTAATAAAATTAAATCTAGACCCAAATTAACCACTTTTTTTAATGTGACAAGTTGCCAAGCGAGCCACCTCAATACACGATTCAATTAGCACCCTCTGTGTAAACAGGACCCAGAATGAATTAAAACACTGACCCAGGATACAGGCGTAAACATAACGCAGAATGAATAATCAAAAAGCTGGCGGTATCGAGGACTGACACTCAGTTTATCGTGTTTGACCGTTAATCACCATTTATCAGAGATATAGTAGACCACAAAGTATGGTCGCGGAATGGCGGGAATTGAAATCAAAAATGAACGTGATAAATCCGTTAAAGCAGTTTCGTTTATTAACATTTTAGTACTTCAGAATTTACTTAATAATAAATATTAAATTTAATGTAAATAAATAAATTTAATTTAAATTTGTAAATATTAGATCAATAAAGATTGTCTTTTTAGTTTCAATTTAATGTTTTAAAATTTGAAGAAAAACGGCCGTAATTCACCACTGTGCGGATCGAACCCACATCTAGGTGATTATTTTAAGGACTAAACTCAACAAAAAATAATTATTATTATTAATTACTCTTTTGATCGATCCATACGACCATGAAAGAATTTGATATCCCAACTCGGAAACTGATATTGTGACAAACGATAAACAAATCAATTGTTTCCCCTAATTTAGCGGCGACATGCGCATTTACAACAGTGCTGATTCCTGTCTCTTGTAGCGTGCTCCAAAGGCGTGCAGTCCAGGAGGCTGGGACAGGTCGGGTTCCACTGCTTCTCCAGCGCGTAGTAAATCTTGGTGTCACTTTGTGCCTGGTACGGGTCGCAGGGGTACCCAAAGTAACACGAACCAGCGGCGCAAGAGCTCTCCGAGGCCGTGTTGATTGGAACGCATAAAGGCGACGTTCTACTGACGCACGAGCATGCCGTATCGCACTTGGAGCTCTGGTGGCATTGGTCTTTCGAGACGTGCAACGTCTTGCACGAGTCCTCCTTGCACGATATGGGCGCGTGCAAATATATGGGGCCGTCGTAATTCTGGATCTGTATCGACGCACAAGGTTCCGTACACGCCTTTGTTGCGATAATCTGTTGAAAGCGATTGTATATTTGAGTCGATGATGATTTTATGATTAAGAGTATACATTTCTTACTGTACATGTCTTACTGCTAGGCAAATTCCTCCACTGTACAGAAGGCATTAGGGCATTGAATTCTATTTAATGTGGATTTTTCCACAATACCTTGCCAACTGCGCTACGGAGTAAGCATTATCAGGACATAATCAACCAATCGAACCCACTGCGGATTTGCAGACTGCACAGGGATATGAATTCGGCCCGTTTCGCTCAGCTTGCTCGATTATATATTAGTATATCTATTTATTATTATTTGTATTATTAGTATAGTATATGAGTATATAAAAGCGAACGTTCAATTAAAATGTAGCGTAAAATTAATCATACTCGTAAACGGACACTTAGCCGTGACAGCTCATCTAGTCACAGCAAAATTAAACTTAGTATTAAGCCTTCACTTAGCCATTTGGTAAAACCTATGTGCTTGTGATCTACCCGGATTTGAATCTTGCATCGCCTAAGGTTTTCGTCCATTTATTTAAAAAAAATCATATTCTAAGTTTTGATTTATTTCTGAATAGAATATGTGTAAGAAGTAGTGAGCTACGTTTAGTTGTAGCGTTTATACGTTGGAGTTTGGAATTAACACCACGATTGCTATGGATTACCATGAGCAGCAGTAATCACTTAACATCAGTTGAACCATCTGTGAATGAATGAATGAATGAATGAATAAATGAATGGATATTTTTATTTAGTTTCAACCAAAAACACAGTTATGTTAATAATTAAAAGAATATATATCTAAGACATGAAACCAAATAGGTTCCCGATTTTCTACTGAAATAGCAAACATTTTAATTATAACTAACAAACTAGACTAAGATTAACACAAAGCGGGTACATTAATTTAAGGACAATAACACAATACCTTCTGATTATAACACACATGTGGTACATTATTCTAAAGACAGTAACACAATAACGAGTAATGAAAATTAACATCTATACGTAAAAAGCAGTGAACAGAATAAAAAAGAAAACTATTTCCAAAAACAAAAACAAAACAAAAAACAAATCTGTGACCATGTGTTGACGTATAATAACCATTTTTTTACTAAAGAAAAACAAAACCGACTTTAAATATCTCGCTCTGAATTCATTTCATAATTGATTTTCAGGAGTTCCCTAAATATCTCCGGAGCCCAAGATCCAATACCAATGTAATATGGAACCACATGGGAAGCAACAGCTTTCAAATAAAAAAAGAACCATCAAATTCGTCGAGGTAACAAACCTAAAAAAAAATACAGTCGAATTGAGGACCTCCTCCTTTTGAAGTCGGTTAAAAAGGGATAAGAAGAGATAACGTTATCGCTTATCGAGCGAGTTATCTCTTCTAGTGTCGGAGCGTAGTCTGCCACGCGACGGCATTGCAATTCAAATATCATCTAATTATTTTCTTCAATTACTTTTTACATTTTCAGGGGTACTAACGACGTTTTCCACCGCCACTGGGATGACGGTAACTAACGGTTAATATAATTTAGTATATCGAATTAAAAATATTTCGCCAGGTCACCGCTCGATACCATGGTACCTAATTATTTAAAACTAAATTAACAACGTTTAGTCAACATAACTGTGAGCAATCATACAATCTAAGCCCCGTTGAACAAAGTAATGGATAATATTCAGCTGTATTCCAAAGTAAATTGTTTTAAACTCACGTTTAAATGAAACACTTCTTCCAGTTAGTCTCTAAGCGGCATTCGATTTCTAAGTGAGATGAGTGGTTATATTCAAAGAGATGTAAATTTGAATCTTTTGAACAAAGTTAAAAACTTGCGATGTTAATACTCACGTGTAAAATAAGCGTAAACGCTGATAGCTTCATGTCTGGCAGCGGAATTTGTTTTTGGCTCCAAATTTCTCTTCATTTATATCAATCATATTATCGCGAAGCAAATCGTTACAAATCGACTTCCAAGAACATTTTCGAGTTAATTCAACGACGACACGTCGATGCACGGATTGCGTTGAAATGTCCAAACTTTACAAATAATGTAACATACGTAACGATTACTGTGAATCGCATCAGGTTTATTGTATTTATTATTTGTTCCCGTAACCGATGAGTCAACCGGCAGTTACGCCTCATTTAATCTTTACTTAACTATTAAGTATCCACATAAATATCTACAAAATTTTCTAAATGTATCACTTACCAATAAGCTATTTATCTAATTATATATGTGTCCATTTCGACATAAATACATTAGCCTATTCAACTAAAATGGACATAATATATAGCTCGGAAAAATATTTCCGTTTTTATCCAGTTGCGTACATCATTCACATATAGTTACAATTTCATTGAAATAAAAAAAACGCCTATTATTGAAACATTAAACATGTTAAGTAAGAAGAGTAATTTAAACAAAACAACAAATTAGTTACCTAAAAAGAACTGAGACAAACCAATCAATATGAAGTAAAACTTAACTGTGGTAGGGCCACGTAACAGTCTTCGCCGTTGCACGAATGGGCAGGTACGGCCGGACCAGTACCACTACCACACAGAAGACCGACGTGAAGTGGAAGTGTTATACTTCTGCGTTTCTTCTGGTGAGTGAGGTAGCCGGGGCCCACTTTATTGTACGGTGGCAACTTATCTGCATCTTACTTAATACATCTAATTTACTTTTTTTTTCTCTTTTCTTTTATTTCATAAGATGTATTAATTTCTATCATGTTATTTTCTGTATGATTAATTTCTAGTTAAATTGTATGTTTTATAGATTGTGTGGTGCAATGTAACTTACGATGAAAATAAATAAATAAATAAAAAATAAATAAATCTCTACGAGTATTACAAATGTCCATGGGCGGCGGTTATCACTTAACATCAGGTGAACCACCAGCTCGCTCGCTACCATCTCACATAAAAAAATTCTACAATTTAGTGATATTTTATAAAAATGAAATTGCAATTGGAATTTGCAACAAATCGGTATGCAATAAAAAGAAAAGCTACTCGTATACGGCGAACGAAATACGGTAAATAAGTGAACATTTTAATTTGCGTCTTTTAAAATTAACATTTAATTAAGCCCATAAACATTCAATTATTTATTTATTCTTTATCGCAAAGACCTTAAGGGTTGAAAGGGCAGACTTAACGCCTATTAACATTCTCTACTAGTCAACCTGAAGCGTGCGTTGTTAGTGCAATAGATCAAGATACAATATGGATTTAGAGTGAATAAAATCAATAAATATACACGCATTTACAACACGAGCCTCAAAATGGTAGCCAGCTTACAGTATAGAACTAGAACTTCTCTTCCGAATTTAAATGAACCAGTAATTCAGTCTTACAATATTTTTATTGAAAGAAGTAATTCTATAACATACTCGCACGTTCACCTGCCAGTGTCACTTAAATAAAAAAATAATAATAATGGTTTCAGTTTGACATTTAATCTTACAATCTTAAAAAATTTCAAATAAAGCTGTGTTTAGTTTAGAGTAGCGTAATTAATTACAGTTTACCGTATTGAGATGAGATTTGTAAAAAAAGTGGATGTTATCTCGGCAGTTTTATCAATGTTCATGAATGTGGAGCAGTATGCCAACTCGCGACACACTACGCCAGTATGCTACGTTGGTTGCATTATGGACCTACCTATCAATATAATATACTAAAATCTATATAATATAATGTACTAAAATCACTCGAAAAATGTCTTTTTTTACAAACAATATATTAATTAGAGAGAAAATATAAATGATATAAAAGAAAGACTCTTCTATATCATTTATATTTTCCCGCTAACTTATAAATTTGTCTTCTGTCTTTCTCTTTTTTTAAAAACAATGCTCTAACTTCAGGCTAACATTAACCTGTGTTGTAAACATACTACTCATTACAGTAATAATTTATTAGTATTTTCGGGTTTACTTTTTTTATGTGAGAAAGTGGCAAACGAGCTGGCGGTTCACTTGATGTTAATCCTTTTGTTTTTTCTTTTTTTTTAAAACATTGCCCTTACTTTAGGATAACATTATCCTGTGTTGTAAGGACGTTTTACATACATAAATTTCGCATAGACAAACACCCAGATGCGAAACAACTATTTATGGGTCACGCAAATAGTTGTCCCGTGTGGGAATCGAACCCACGACCCCCGACGCCGAAGTCAATACTTTGGCAAACTGCGCAACTGAGTCATCAAAATGTATATAATGACTTTAATAATTATTAAAAATGGACAACCTTCCTGATGTAACAATTTATATGTACATATATTTGAATTAATTTACTGAATGGTTATACAGCGTGTCGTTACCATCGCGACAATAAATGAACACACGTCTAACGCTACTTGCCAATAATCATAAAAAAATATTAACGTTAAACAAAATCCATAATTAAAAAAATATATTTTTCAAACAAACTAATTAAGTAAAAAAGAAACAAATTTTGTAACATCCTATACAACTCGCGCCACAGCGTCGCATTATGATAATGTTTAAAGAATTTAAATGTTTAATACAACTTTAAAAAGTTATCCCCTATATGTGTGTTCATTTATTGTCGCGATGGTAACGACACGCTGTATATTAATTGCTTTTATCCATTAAATTAAAGAAATCATTTATTTGTATTCCATGTCTGTTTGTTTTACACCTACAGGGAGTTATAAAAGAAATGTAACCAATACGATAAGATAGCATTTCCAAAGCCTAGTTTGTTTGAGGCCGTGTCCATGTTATCTCACGAGCACAGTCCCGTTACATAGTAGTAGGTTAGCATCCGCCAAGCACATCCCTGTGATTCTGCGGAGCTAGGGTTGCGTCTCGCGAGCCACATAAAACAAAATTTTCTTACAAAATAATTTACAAATGAACATCCTTTAACACACTTGCGATTTGCGGCTTGTTGTATGGCATTTTAACATCAAGACATTTGGTTCACATTGCTAGTGTAAAAGAAATACTGTTCCGAGCGATTCCATCCGCGAGACACGCTTCTGCATCGCCCCTGTAGATCTTAGCGGGATGTCAAATATCCTATAACTTTCCTCAAGAATTCGGCTATCAAATGCAAAAATATGTTTTCAAATATCCGACTGATAGTACGAGAGAATAGTGCGTCTTCTCTTCAGCTCCATTATATTGGCATAGATTTGTGGTCCCACAAAATATTGTTTAACCAACTTTAGAATGTTTAAAAATGTTGGTGCTTTAATACTTAGAAGCCGTTAGCATTGTTAATAGGTTGGGCAAGGAGTATTACATGTCTTTTCGATCTAGTCAAGTTAAATTTTATAATTTTAATTTTAGTAAACAGTTTTGAGAGATCCATTGTGTTCAACTCATTCGGTTACATTTATCTGTCAAAACTTTCATACGTATCTCACACATTTTATAATGAAGAGACGATCTTATTACAAAAGTAAGTACTGTCCAAATTTGAGTTACGATTCATCTTGATTATTTGCAAACTGAGAAAGAGACTTAATAACGTATTCAGATGAGTTCTAAATTACTAGACTATCAAAAGGGGCAACATGCGACAGCCCTGACACGTATCCGGCTTGTTACTGGGTAAGCGGATTATGTCACGGTGTGGCCCGTACACAGCCTCGGTGGGAACAGCAAAGGCCCGACAATGCTAACCACGCTGCCACCAAAAGCCACCATATTGTGGCAACACACAAACGATGAATGCACCTTACTTGCAAATTTCCATTGCCACATATAACTGCACAAACTATTCGCTTGAATCCGTTTCTATACTGTGTGGAATCAGTTGTCGCCAGCAGTATAAACGGAAATGGATTTTTTCTTTTTTTTATCGAAATCACATCGAAGAACATCCGAAGTAGAACAAAAGTAACCGACTTAGCTCAGAGGCTTAGTAAGCCGAAGTGGCAATGGGCCGGCAATATAGTTCGAAGAACCGATAACCGATGGGGAAGAAAGGTTCTCGAGTGACAGGCTAGTATTGGCCATCGTAGTGTAGGACGACCCCATTAATGGAGTGACGACCTGTGGAAGTGTGCGGGAAGTCGATGGATGCAGGTGCCTCAGAATCGTGCTTCGTGACAGTCTGTGGGGGAGCCCTATGTTAAGCAGTGGACTCAAATAGGCTGAAATGATGATGATGATGAGGCAGACATACCAACCGTACTAATAAAAGAAGTAAATAACATCATGCCTGGCTATATATTTGTCAACTAAGTAGGAAAAAATTCAGCCATCTGCGAGATATTCTGGTGTATAATAAAAACTCATTGTTAACTTCCATTAGCCGCGCCGGCGAAGCCGCGGTTAACAGCTAGTGTGTTATGTATGTTATACTATACTAGCGACCCGCCCAGGCTTCGCACGGGTTTAATGTATTTATGTATTAAAAGGTTTTAATTTATTATATAAATATAAACCTTCATTTTGAATCACTCTATCTTGTAACAAAAAAGATCTAAGCACACATACAGACAGACAGTGGAACGACTTTGTATTATACTATGTAGTGATATTGAAAATCCATTTGACAGCTTAATGATCAGAATGATCAATTCAAAGACTTTAACAATCCTTTTGGCAAATCAAATAACATTTGAAGAGCCATTTGACGGCTGATTAGTTGACTTCTACGATGATCAGTGTTTAAGAAACCGGGCGTAAGAGATACATCCTTTGTCCACCTTCCATCAACAGGAACTAGAAGCGGACCGCCACTGTCCGCTCCATAAACACACCGCCCTACAGGTCAGCGACGATTTATCGCATACTAGAATTAAACCGACAGTCCGTCGGTCAAGCAAGAAAGCCGCTTAACTCGGTCTTAAGGTTAATCGATAACGGGGACGCTGTTATGCGGTACTT